ATCGATGGGGCACGCGCTTGCAGAGCAGTACTTCGCCGATTTCGAAGAAGTTAAAAAATGGCTCGATGAATGGTTTAGCTCAAAGGAGAAATAGTTCTTTTGGAATGGCGTCCATAAATTGCCTGAGAGATGGGCAAAATGTATAGAATCAAATGGCCAATACTTTGAATAAATATATTTTAACTATCCATTGTAAATAACGTGTTTTCTTTAGCGAAAAAACCGGAAAGGAATTACCGACACACCTGATATGTGTAAAGTTTACCGTACCTAAATGTACGTAGTGTCGAAAAATTATGCTCGATTAATGAAACTTCTTTTGTTAGTAACTTTTTAATAAACAACGAACGACGGCTAAAACTTTTGCAGGTTGCTCAGAATAATGTCCTTGATACCATATGTTTAGATCAGTGTCATTGTAATATCCTGCCCTAAACAGGAGTTTTATCCTCGCTATTTGTCGAAAGAAAAAGTGGTACTAGACTTTTTTACTCTATTTGGTCTCAAAAATATATTATTACAATAGCGCCCTGACCTTTGTTAATTTGATGATTTTGAAATTTCCAAAGGTCGATAAGTTAACAAAAGGTAGGCATTAGTGTAGCAATATATTCTTGAAACCAAATAAAGTCCAAAAAGACTAAAAAGAGTCTAATATTATTTTTTCTTCCAACAAATAATTAGTAAGATATCGTAAGTTAAATATTAAAAAAGTTTCCGAATTTTCCTTAAATATTCCCAAAAATATTAGTCAAATAAAAAAAGTTTCAAAAATTGTTAAAATTAATTTGTAGAAAAAAATGATATAATAAAAAATTGGGGTTTCCATTTAAGAAAACTGATGATCAATGAATATTTCAAAAGTAGCGCCATCTGTAAATAAAATGATATAGTTATTATACGTCGCCTTTGAAATCATACAAATTTTGTTTGAAACATTTTCCGTAAAATTTCTCGTTTTCAAAAAAATCGTGTGTTATAGGTAGTTTGTGACATTATACATTGTGTATATATATAATTGTTTGTGTTGTGTATATACATAACATGTAGTAAAATATTTTACATTTTCTATGAATTCATTGCTTTTCATTTAAAAATTTTCTTATAACTTTTTTATTAACTTTAAAAATTTTATGAGAAACAATATTATGAGCTATTTTAAAACATCTTATCCATTTTAATAATGCTTAATAATTTTAATAAATCTAATTGTTTTGATCTTATCTTACGCAGCTCATTGAATAATATCGATGTCATTTCCAAATTGTTCCTTTCGCAAGAATTTCTTAGAATTTATATAATGCATAGAAGAATTCTTTTTTTGAAAATTTCTAATTACTTTTGTTTACTTGTTCCTGTTAGTGTCGTAACTGACATAATATGACTTTCCGAAATCTTTGTTTCACGGTTTTCAATGACATTACCATATCAAAATTAATGGGTTTCCAAAACCCAATTGCGTTTTTCTATAATTTATTGGAATATTGTTTTTTAAACATTCGGGTTCCTTAAATGGCATATTTTTTTTGCTATCTGTTATTTCTGTTCTGGTATATCGAATAAATCATATATGTACGGAAATCTAAAAGAATATTCTACTTCCATTTCATATTTTTTATATATTTTTGTTCACTTCCTTTTTTGTTATTTCTACCTCTTTTCTTAATGTTCTAACTGCATGTACCTAATTATATTTATTGAAATATAAAGCAAATTAAAGAATTAAATATTATGCGTAATATTATGCATTATATTGAATTAACGATATTAACAATATTGAGTTACATTAATGGATTAATGGTTAAGTAACATTAATGGATTAAAGCATCTCCTACTTGGTGTGAAAATAAAATATTACAAACGCATATACATACTACATAGGCTGAAAAGTCTTTGGCTTAACAATGAAAAAACGATTTTTTTAATGAAAAAAGTGTTTTATTCCTCGACATAATCTCCATTTAGAGTAATGCACTTAGTGTAACGGTCCGCTAACATTTCGATGCCGGTCTTATAGTGCTCGGTGTCAAGTCCCTCAAAATAGGCATTTGTTTCCAACTTGACCTCCTCATTCGAGTAAAATCTTTTACCAGCGAGCCACTGCTTCAGTCGGGGAAAAAGGAAATAGTCGCTGGGGGCCAGGTCTGGAGAATACGGGGGATGCGGGACCAATTCATAGCGCAATTTCTTTAATTTATCGGTCGTATCGCGAGCCGAGTGAGCTGGAGCATTGTCTTGGTGAAACAAAATTTTTTCTTTGCCAAATGTGGCCGTTTGACCTTGACCTCGTCGTCCAATCGATCCAGTAATGTACAGTAATATTCTTTATTGATAGTTTTACCATGTTCAAGATAATCAATGAATATTATGTTATGCGCATCCCAAAAAATACTGGCCAAAACCTTACCGGCTGATTATTGTGTCTTCGGGCGCTTCGGACGGCTTTCACCAGGCAATAACCACTCCGCTGATTGCCGATTGGACTCCGGTGTGTAGTGATGGATCCATGTTTCATCCATTGTGACAAATCGACGCAAAAACTCCTTCTCATTGCGGTTAAACAGGGCCAGATTTTGCTTTGAAAGTCGAACACGTTCCGCTTTTTGCTCAATTGTCAAAAAACGCGGCACCCAACGCGCGCAAAGCTTTTTCATGTGTAAATATTCATGAATGATATGACCAACGCGTTCCTTTGAGATGCCTATGATGTTAGCTAGCTCACTCAATTTCATTTTGCGGTCATTCAACACGATTTCACTGATTTTCTGGATGTTTTCTGGAGTAACTGCCTCATTTGGCCTTCCTGAACGTGGTGCATCATTTGTGCTCGTACGGTTACGATGAAACTCAGCAAACCAATATTTGATGGTTGAATTCGGTGGGGCAGATGTGCCGTAACATTTATCAAGCTATGCCTTTGCTTCAACAGTGTTTTTTCCCATCAGGAAGCAATGTTTAATCAAAACACGAAATTCACTTTTTTCCATAGTAAAGATAAATTCAGAGGTAACGTCACTTCGAAAGCTATAACTTGTACACGAGTCAACGAAATATCATGAAATTTTTACAGCATCTAAGTTAAGGTTGGTACTCTATAGGAAATATAAGGATTTTTAGTTTGTGGCGCCATCTATATGTCAGGCCAAAGACTTTTCAACCCATGTAGTATATACACATACTACTGTGATAAAAAAATAAGGTGAATTTGTTTATAAAATGAAAAATCTTTATTTATTCTTCCAAATCAATTTCATCGCCTTCAAAGTACTCTCCGCCCGACACAATGCACTTATGCCAACGTCTTTTCCAATCCTCGAAACAGTCAGAGAAGTCTTTTTCCGGGATGGCCTTCAATACTTTCTTCGATTCGGCTTTTATCTCCTCAATCGAGTCGAAACGGTGTCCCCGGAGCGGTCTTTTGAGTTTGTTAAACAGCCAGAAGTCGCACGGTGCTAAATCAGGCGAATACGGTGGTTGCGGAACGATATGGGTCGAATTTTTGGCGAAATGTTCTCGAAGAACCAATGCAGTGTAGGACGGTGTTTTTGGAACCAATCGGGATTTGACGCGTTTGAGGCACAAAACATCTTTTAATGGTTTGGGTTGATTCAAATGAAATGCCCGTAGCATCAGCAAGGTCTCTAATTGTCAATCGACGATTTTCGAACAGCAAATCTTTGATTTTCTTGACGTGGCTTTCATCGGTAGATATTGATGGTCGTCTGGGGCGCTGTTCGTCTTGAACTCGTTCTCCGCCTTCTTTGAAGTCTTTGTACCACTGTAAAAATTTTTTTGCGACATAGCCTTATCACCAAAGGCCTTTTGCAACATCCTCAACGTTTCCGCGGCAGAATATTCATTCCGCAAACAAAATTTAATGCAAATTCTTTGCTCAACAAAATCAGACATAGTAAAAATCGAAAAACTCACTTTTGTATGTTTACAAAAACACGTATAGTTCTGCAGCAATTGAATATATTGACATGAAACTCTGCATAGAAGTCAAAGACAGTGCTACCAACCCACCAAAAAATAATTTCATGATTTTATAATACCCGCGAAGTTTAAATGAAAAATTCATCTTATTTTTTGATCACAGTAGTATATCAACATATATATATATATACATACTTTTTAATTATAATTAGCAATTTGTGAGGAATACATTATCATCATAAAATAATTTTTTTTCAGAGGAATATTTCGTCCTCTAAACCTGTGTATGAGTTATTATAAATAATATATGTTTCTTATTTTAGTCTAGATTACAACATATTCAAAACTCATAAAGATCGAAGGAGAATAGTATTGTAAGTTTCTTTATAAGATGCGTCGAAGCGATGAATCGTTTATTGGATTAACAGTCTAATGGGAAACTTGACGAGTGGCTCTATACATGGTGCATGTTCATGCGTAAATTGAACAAATTATAGAAGAATGCCTTTAGCATTCGTGGGTGGACACCCTATGTGCCCATATGGCAGTAGTAGTTTTACCACAGAAAGCGATGGTTCTCAAACCAGCTTATATTTCATCAGAAAAAAAGCAAAGGAGAAATACTATCATATAACATCTAAGAATACCTTATAATATTTTTCTAGCTACTTGAAGAAAAATTAAATAATTAAATTAAAAAAGGAGAAGAAATAGATTTTGTTATATTTATATAAAAAGAACTTAAAGTTTCTGAACTTTTATATTGGTACGTTATACTTGTCAAGATATGCCATTAATATTATCCATAATTTTTTAAGTTTGTGAAATAAAATACAAGGAATATAAATATTTTCATCGATATTTAATATAAATATCTTCATTGATATTTGAGACGAGAGAATAAAATTAGTGATGAAATATAGTTAGAACGCTAATCAACTTTAATCGCGTGCAATATGGGCATCCCTGATTCAGTGAACAACTGCAATGATCATAATTACTTGTGATGATACATGTGTGTGTGCGCATCTGTACGCGTTAAGACTCGTAGGAGACATATATGACATCTTAAGCTGAGAGCAGTGCCTCGTGAAAGGTCGAAGGAATCACACGTGAAATAAAGACCCGAATATTTTTCTCGGTGTAATTTCCGGTGAGATATAGTTTATGTGTTGTTTTTGTATAAAATATAATCACGAGCGATGATAACCTACATCTGGATACTTTATATCTGTATAACAGGTAATACAAAAAATATAGCGAGTGTATAAACATTAATAATTATAACATATTCATTGGTAGGAAGAAACAATGCAATGAATGTCACACTATTTTATTAAGAAAAATTGATTAGCATGATAATTTTTGTTTTTTGCTCAAGGAAAAATTAAAAGCTTTAGAAAAATAAAAAAGTTTATGCGCTAGCTTCTATGTTGACTATCTCGCACAAGAACTACTTTCTTGCTAAAATATAAGTCTTAAGAATATTTTCCTAGTATCAGAATTTCTAGCCAAATTTGCAGCGGGAGAAGTAAATTCCGCACGTTAAATATTTATGGGAGATGAAGAGTACATTTCACCAACTTTTCTGTCTTTTTTTACAATTATTTACAATTTGGATTTGTATAACGTAACAAATAATTGTTTCATTTTCATGTCATTGTTTTATTACTTTAAATAATTATTGCGATAACGAGAAAAATTCGAGTAACTTAGTTTCGCGAAGTTGAGATAGTACAGTAATCGAGCTAAAATAGCTTTTACATGGCAGCATAATTATAGTCGTATTTCCGTATCTGGATCAATTTCTTTAAGAGGGAAAGCCGTGGCTAAGAAGTGGTATAAAATTGTATCGCTCGCTCGCACATGCAACTTTGGCAATCGATTTCCTCGTTCTGATTCTCATCATGGTACGTGAGCGAAAATATAATCATGCTGTAATTTTGTTTTCACATGCCATACAAAGGTTGATCCATATGTTATGTACATTAATAATGTCATAATAATTGATCATAAAGAAAAAATCTTCGCTCATGCACATTCAGGGCTAAGTATGTAAAAAAATTTCACCGAGTCATGTATGCGTGCAGAATAATGGAAGTTTTTCGATTGGATTAAAAGCAAAAATTAAACAAAAATAAGGTCGAACTTTCCGCAATGCGGGCCATGTTTTCACGCAATGCCTAAACGATAATTTAGTTACGTTGTCATTATTATATATTACAGGCACTCATGCTGCTGTACGTACAAGCCGCGCATTCGGAAGTCATCCAACAACGATAAGAATTTCCGAGAACGACACTGTTTTGCTACCTTGTTATGTGGAGGACCAGGGTATGACGTCGTCAACTATTGATTTCGCTCTTTCTTCGTCCCCCCGGACCGTTCGGTGGCTGATGATTAATCATTTGTTCTATATGCATTCGCGGCTCACATTTCGTCAGCTCCTTGCACGCATGCACACGCACGCACACACGGTGATTTAAAATAAACACGATTTGCAAAATTATAAACCGACAATTTACAACCAACTGCAATCTGACACGCTCGCGCGATAACAAATGGGGTGTTTTCCGTAATATCGTTATTTTTACTTATATAGGCGTGTAAAATCAGGATAAAGCGGTACAAGGAGGGAATTTTTCTCGCAGCTATCGCCGTTATACACTTGTTTTATGCCAAAACGACTCTATGTTATTTATTAAAGTCTCATTTTGTTAAAACAAACACTTTCATTTACGTTTAGCGTAATCATTTTTGCGTATCAATGCCGATCTTTGTAAGCAGACTTTTCTTGTTGATCAATCCGTACATGGAAAACTAGAGAAGATTCTTTCATGAGAATCTAAGAACCTACCTTCATAAATATCCTCGTTAGCCATTATATGTATAGACATTAAGTTCTTAATGTTAAAATGGCAAAATGTGTTAAAGTGCATTAAAAAGGTTGTTGCTTCTACCTATATAGGTGTACAAACTAGGGTAAGATGGTGGCGAGAGCAAATCCTCTTGGCTGACAGTTATGAACCAAACAAGGCACTGCCCGAAAGATATACCATGTATAGAAATGGCAGTCTACAGATCCTTCATGTACAGCTAGAAGACAATGGGGAATACGTGTGCCAAGCGATCCGACCTGCTCCTTGGGGACACGTTACGCAAGTACACGAGATCGAAGTGATGTGTAAGTACGATGTAGGTTGAGGTATAATCCACGTGTAGCATCCCTCAATGGGAATTTCACTATATACGTATTGAATTAAAGCGCACAACGAAAGTATTCGAACTTATCGCATACAAATTCAAGCTATTTATTTATCTCCTATTTGCGCGTCTCCTTTCGACATATGTCTACTAAAATCATTCTTTTCCGTTTAATGTTTTTTCTCGAATTTGTCACAAGGTCGAGTTAACTTAATCTTGTATAAATTTTCTTCTTATATGATTATGAGTAGAGATGTGCGAATCAAAAATTTTTATGTCGAATCGAATCGAATCGAATCTCATTTTTTAAATTCGAATTCGAATCGAATTGAATCTATGAAATTTCATTCGAATTCGAATCAAATCGAATCGAACCATTAAAAAATTTAACATGAATATTAAACGTGCAAATAATGATGGAAGATTTTAATATGAAAGGAAATATTAATATTGTAATATTATCTTAAAATAAAATATATATTTAAATATCTATAGTAATTTAGAATTAAGTTAATAATTATAAGTTAGGTTAATTACGGTAATTAAACATTATTAGTTAATAATTAATTAAAAATAAGTTAAGGGTTCAATTATACAGACCCAGGTGGCCCGTTTTATAATTGATACGCACAAACGCTAATATATTTTATTCGTATTCGAATCTTCACGATTCGAAATTTTCGAATTATTCGGATTCGAATCATAAGGATTCGGATTCGAATCGAATCGAATTACATTAGATTCGATTCGATTCGATTCGAATTCGAATAGTTCGCACATTTATAATTATAAGTAATGTAAAATCGACTTATATAAAATATTACAAATTTATTTGTTTATTCTATATTATGCATAGACCCACCGAGTATTGAGACAGTCCCTGCATCCGGCGAGTTAGAGATTAATCTCGGAGACGAGGTAGATGTGCAGTGCGTTGCAAAGGGTGTACCAGTTCCCAATATAAGTTGGAGGACGAAGGTAATCGATATTCATAACGTTGCCTATACCAATGATATTAACCCATTAACGCCCAAAAGTCCTAAAATATTAGCCTTACTTTGCAACTGTATTTTATGTAGAGAAATTATATTATATTTATTATATAAGGTTTGGAAATTATATTATATTTATTATATAAGGTTTATTATATAATTATATTATATAAGGTTGGAATAGCATTTCCTTATGTTTTCGGAGTCGTTCTACAAAATTCCGGCATCAGAATTCGTTTAGATTCACAATAAAATTCAATATGGCGGAATTATGGAAAAAAGTCGTGAAAAATCGATAATTTTATTTTTTATAAGCTTGATTTCGTATCAAAAACGTTACTTTGATATAGATACAAGTGTCACATCTTGTCTAAAAAATGTTGAACTTTCAAGGCATGCATTGGTGAAAATGTGAATTCAAGATGGCTGCCTCAAAATGGCGGTTTGAGCGAAAAAAACTTAAAAAATAATGTATTTTTAGAATAACTTCGCAAAATCCTAGTATTGGGTTGGCAACTAAGTGATTGCGGATTTTGTCGACAGATGGATTTTACACTTTCTTTTGTTTCGTTAACGTGTTCCAAGTATCTAACCTATATTTTTTTCTTATTGTTTGGACTTCTACCTTTCATTTAGTATAAAAATTATATCGATTAATTCTTTATTTTTGTTTTTATCCCAATTTAAAAATGGAAGAGCAAGACGTGCACTTCAGACATATTTTATTGTATTATTTCCGAAAAGGCAAGAACGCATCGCAAGCATACAAGAAGTTATGTGCCGTATATGGGAATGAAGCCTTGAAAGAAAGGCAGTGTCAAAATTGGTTTGCCAGATTTCGTTCTGGTGATTTTTCATTGAAAAATGCTCAACGATCTGGCCGTCCAGTTGAAGTCGATGAGACCCATATCAAGGCCATTATCGATTCAGATCGTCATAGCACAACACGTGATATTGCAGAGAAGCTCAATGTATCGCATACATGCATTGAAAAAAATTTAAAAAAGCAAATTTAAAATTTTGAATTTTCATTCTTATTTAAAATCCGCAATCACTTAGTTGCCAACCCAATATTTAGCATCAATTTAGTATCCAGGGTACTGATTTTAGGATATTTGCTGACAACTAATTCATATTAGAGAATTTTAAAATGGCGGATCCAAGATGGCGACTAAAAAGCACGAATAATCGTGAAAATTTCCAGATTTTTATGAATTTTCTTTTGTTATTTTAATATTCATGTATTATTTTCGAGACGTACACATGCACATATATAAGGTAGGTAATTATAAACTTACAAACTTTATAAAAAACATGAAAAACATCGAGATAAGTACAACAGACGAGAAAAAATAGAAATCGATTACGTAAAGTTTTGAGAAAAATTACTAAATGAATGAACGAATAAACGTTCAGTGGGCATGCGTTGTGGGCATCGCAGGCATGCTACTCCGCACGGCTTGAGCCGGATTGGCAGGCAACAATAGCGGACCGGCGCGCGCCGTTGTTGCCTGTCAATTCGGTCCAAGCTGTGTGGAATAGCAGGTCCACGATGTCCGATCACTGCGCATTTATTCGCTCATTTATTTAATAATTTTCCTCAAAACTTCTTTCTCAAGCCATCTTGAATTCACATTCTCACTAATGCATACCTTGAAAGTTCAACATTTTTGAGACAAGATGTGACACTTGTATCTGTATCAAAGTAACGTTTTTGATACGAAATCAAGCTTATAAAAAATAAAATTGTCGATTTTTCACGACTATTTTCCAAAACTTTCGCCATATTGGATTTTATTGTGAATCTAAACGAATTCTGATGTTGGAATTCTGTAGAACGACCCCGAAAACATAAAGAAATGCTATTCCAACTTTATATATTAGGAGTACAAATAAGTTTCCGCCGTTTTCTATCAAAAATTAGGAATTTATTGTGAAAGAACGGTACATTACGTTTTATTCAAAGTATTGTCCATCAACAGCCACTACTTTTTCCCATCTTTCTGGCAGCATTCGGATACCACGTCGGAAGAACTCTTCATCTTCTGAGGTTATCCACGAATCGACCCAATTTTTAGTATCTTCATATGATGTAAAGCGCTGCTTAGACAGGCCATGTGCCATCGACCGGAACAAGTGATAATCGGAAGGAGAAATGTCTGGTGAATACGGCGGGTGGGGTAGGACTTCCCAATTAAGTGTTTCCAAATAGGTTTTAACCGGTTTTGCAACATGTGGCCGAGCGTTGTCATGTAGGAGAATAATTTTGTCGTGTCTGGAGTAGTAATGGGCGCGTTTCTCTTTGAGTGCTCGGCTCAATCTCATTAGTTGTGTTCGGTAGAGAGCTCCAGTAATGGTTTCGCTCGGTTTGAGCAATTCATAATACACGACACCAAGCTGATCCCACCAAATACACAGCATGAGTTTTTTTCCATGAATATTCGGTTTGGCTGTCGATGTTGAAGCATGGCCAGGTGATCCCCATTATTTTCTCTTCTTTGGGTTATCGTAGTGGATCCATTTTTCATCACCAGTGATTATACGATGCAAAAAACCCTTTCTTTTATGCCTGGCAAGCAGCATTTCACACGTGCAAAATCGGCGTTCAACATCTCTCGGCTTTAGTTCATATGGAACCCAATTTCCTTGTTTTTGAATCATTCCCAACGATTTTAAACGATGTGAAATTGCTTGTTGATTCACTTCTAATGTAAGTGTAAGTTCTTCTTGCGTTTGGCACGAATCTTCCTCCAATAATGCTTCCAATTCCGTGTCTTCATACACTTTCGGTCTTCTACTACGTTCTTTGTCTTCCACGTCAAACTCACCGTTTTTAAACTTTTGAAACCACTCACGACAACTTCTCTCACTTAAAGCAGTCTCACCATATGCTTCTACAAGCAATCGATGCGCCTCAGCTGCAGATTTCTTCAAATTAAAGAAGTAAATCAAAAGTTCCCGCAAATGACGCGTTTTCGGCACAAAACTTGACATTTTCGCACGAAAAAATTATGTGATGCTGATACGGAGTCACTAATACTTCAAGGTTATGTTGTTACCAAACTTACAATATTACGTTTTACATCTGACAATTTCAACATAACCTTCTGGTGGACCATCTTTTGTCAAACGGCGGAAACTTATTTGTACTCCTAATAATATAATTTCTCTGCATAAAATACAGTTGCAAAGTAAGGCTAATATGTTAGGACTTTTGGGCGTTAATGGGTTAAATGATTATCGTGGCGAAAATGTTGGAATGAACATATAATGAAGGATAATGAAGGAAACAGAGCGAGAGAGGATAGAACAGCAGAAGAGGATAAAAAGGAGAAAATATGAAGAAATGCAATGTGAAGTTCCATTATCGTAACTTCAGCGTCCAAAAGAGAAATTTGATATTCTATACTTTATATCGAACAGAAAACATAATACAAATTTTATATTTATTTTAAAATAATAAAATAAATATAAATTTTATATTTATTTTATTATTTCATAAAATATAATTTATTGAGGTTTATTTAGGAAATTTAAAATTTATATATAAAACTTTTTGAAATTTTATATTACGTACATTATATATAAGTTGTCTGACACAAGACATATTAATTGTTTCTCGATACATCAGATACAATCATTTTCGGTAAGCTAGCGTCTACAGAGCGTGTTCCACAGCGTCGCGCAAGCTGATTCGCTAATCTTTTTTTATAAATCGGAATTTCATACGTTGTTTACAGAATAACAAAAGTCCTCAGGTACTTAGGTTAATGTATTTTACCTTCACGCGGTGAACTTTATTAAATGATGTGTTAACCATTTTGATCTATAACTTTTTGCCATCTTATAAACAGCTTCGTAATACCATCCTCCCAGAATTTGCCACTTTTTCAGCAAAAAATCTCAAAAGATGCATTTCATAGGCCTCAAGAGAATCAAAGTTTTTTTTCCATTAAGCGAATTTTGTGAAGAACGAAATAATCTAAAATCTGATGATATTAAATCAGATAGATGTAATAGATGAATAAGAATAATTCAGCTCTTTCAATTTTTGTTAAGCCTGTAATGATACGTGTGGCCTCACATTACTTGGTAGAAAACTACTCCTTTTCTATTAGCATGTTCTAGTCGTTTTTCCTTAATGTTTTCCTTTAGTTTATTCAATTATGAACAATATTTATCAAAATTAATGCTTTGATTAGGAGGCTAGAATTCATAAAACAGTACTCCTTTTCACTTCCACTATTCACATAATATGATCTTGTTGGGCTTGTAAACCTTTGGGAGAGGTTAACGAGGTTCATCTTAGTTCATTTTAATGTATTTTTTGTATCGTTTTGTATTATTATAAATAATGCATTTTTCATCCCTAATAATAATTCGCTTATAAAAAATAATTCGTTCTTATTACGTTTTATTAATGAATCACAAGTCGAAATTCGATCGATTAAATTTCTTTCGCTTAAATTGTGCACAACACAAACATTATATCTAGAAATCATACCAAGTTGATGTAAATGGTTATCAACGCTAGATTTCGATATTCCTAATATTTTAGCAAACTCTTGTATGGTATAATATGGATTATTTTTAATTATGCTGGAGATTTGATCGTTATCAATCTCATTAGGTCTGCCAGAACATTTGCTATTGGTATGACTAAAATCCCCATCATGAAACTTTTTATATTATCTTTGCATCATTCTTTTATTCACAGCACCATCACCATGCACATAAAAAATCTTTTTGCTGTTCGTACTGTATTTTCATCTTTGCAGAAATAAAAAAACACGAAAATATATTTTCTTGTTGTTTATCCTTAAATCAAAATAAATACTAAAAAATTTAACTAAATATAATAATTTTTTTTTAAATTACATGTTAAGATCTCAGCTTTAGACTATACAGGATATCCAATTTTAATCTATCACTCCTCATAACTTTGCAGGGAGCGGTCGTAGAAAAGAATATTTCAGACCAAAGTTGTATGGTTTCAAAGGGAACATAAAACAACTATATCAGTTTGTTTACAGATGATGCTATTTGATGATATTCACTGATCATCAATTTTCATAAATGAAAATCCCAATTTTTATTTTTTTTATCAATTAATTTTAACTTTTGAAACATTTTTTTATTTGCCTAATATTTTTTTGAGATATTTAAAGAAAACTTGGTAACTTTTTCATTATTTAACTTACGATATCTCGTTTACTGTTTGTCAAAAGAAAAAATAGTACTAGACTTTTTTACTCTACTTTATCTCAAGAATATATTATTATAATAGCGCCCTGCCTTTTATTAATTTGATAATTTTGAAATTTCCAAAAGTCAATAAGTTAACAAAAGTTAGGGCATTATTGTAACGATATATTCTTGAGATCAAAAAGAGTAAAAAAATCTAATACTATTTTCTCTTCCGACAAACAGTTAGCGAGATCGTAAATTAAATATTGGAAAAGTTACCAAGTTTTTCTTAAATGTCTGAAAAAATATTAGGCAAGTAGAAAAATGTTTCAAACAAAAGTTAAAATTAGTTAAAATTAATTAAAATTAAAATTAATTGAAAGATATATTATTATAATAGCGCCCTGCCTTTTATTAATTTGATAATTTTGAAATTTAAAAAATTAATTGAGAAAAAAGTAATATAATAAAAAATAGGATTTCTGTTTAAGAAAAGTAATGATCAGTGAATATCTCGAAAGTGGTATAATCTGTAAAAAAATTATATGTTAGGTCGTTAAATATGAAATGTCGATTTCCTTAAGTACTAAGTTCGACAGTCAATATCTGTGATATTCCATCTTTAAAGTTCTTGGTTTTTTTTCTTGTGAAGGTACATCATCACTCTTTCAAACGCATGTTTTGGTTTGTGATTATCTTTCGAAATGTCTTTGTTACAGCAATCTTTGTGTAACCATGAATAAGTTAAAAATTCATATTATTTTCGAATATGAGTTCTATCGCAAAACCAATGCAGCGCAGACAATTTGAAATATCAACGAAGTGTTTGGCGAAGATGTGGCTAATGAACGCACAGTATGTTGATAGTTTGAGAAGTTTCGTTCTGGCGATTTTAATCTTAAAAATGAGCCACGTGAGCGACTCGAAACCAAAGTGGATAATGATGAATTGAAAGCTGTAGTGGAAGCGGATACATCTCAAACTACGCGTGAATTAGCAGCAAGGTTTAACATTACTATTCCAACGATATTGGATTACTTGAAACAAATCGGCAAGGTAAAGGAACTGGATAGATGGGTTCCGCTTGAATTAAATGAGCGTCAGAAGAAAAATCGTCTTGAAGCTTGCCTTTCTTTACTATCACGACATAAAGGTGAACCATTTTTACATCGTATTATTACGTGTGATGAAAAATTGATTCTTTTCGACAATCACAAGCGTTCGGCGCAATGATTAGATATAGATAAAGTGCCGAAACACAGTCCGAAACCGAATATTCACAAAAGAAAATTAATGGTGTCTGTTTGATTGTCCAGCGCTGATATTGTCTACTACAGCTTCATGAAACCTGGTCAATCGATTACAGCGAATGTCTACTGTAACCAACTGGACGAAATGATGAGAATGCTTGCGATTAAGTAACCGAGATTGGTCAATAGAGACAGGCCAATTCCTTGCAGGACAACGCTCTACCACATGTCGCACAAACAACGTTGCTCAAACTACAGCAGCTGGACTTAGAAACTCTCTGTCACCAATCAGTTTCACCAGACTTTGCGCCAACTGACTACCACTTCTTCCAGGCATTGGAGCACTTCTTGCAAGGAAAAATATTCAATTCTCAACAAGCTGTGGAAGACGCCTTCCGCGATTTCATCATCACTCACTCTTCAGGCTTCTTCACTACTAGCATAAATAAGCTACCGTTAAGATGGCAAAACTGTGTCGGTACTTTAGGCGCATACTTTAATTAATTTTACTATTTCTGGTTTGAGATATAATAAACCAAACTTTTGATTCGAAATCGGACATTTCATACTTAATGACCTAATAATTGTTTTATGTCCTTGAAACCATACAACTTTTGTCTGAAACATTTTTCTCAATGACCGCTCGCTGCAAAGTTACGAGGGGTGATAGATTAAAATTGGACACCGTATATGCATTTTATAGCTTTTGTTTTAAAAACAGCAGAAACAATCTCTTACGGAAAAATCTAAAATTATTTATTAATCAACCTAATAAATGTTATATAAGTATGTTATATAGGTATATAGGTTGAATAGAATGTTATATAGGTATGATTTAAACAATTTCTTGTCCTAGAAATAACATGTTCTTGAACGAATTCTAGGACCATTTTTCTTTTTGCAAAATATTATCTGAAGTTGTCTAAAATGTTATGAATTTATCCTTTTGCTAAAATGTTATTTTAATTTTTAAGTTATAAAGATAAGTAGTTTACTTACTATGAGTTGGGTTCAGGAAGTAAACGGGGACAGCACAACTCACCATCAGACGCGGACGTTTATGTTGAGTGTCTAATGCGATGGGTTTATCGACACATGTAATGACATTGTATATATTATTTTTACAACTTCCGTTAGACTGCGACCGACGGAATATTGATCTCTATTTTTTTTTTAATTTTATCCGCTACAAGAAGGAAAAAAAGTTCACAATTCATGATTAAACCGAATGCAAAATTAAAAATAAAACGTTTTGACATTATGGGAAAGAACGCGCGTTAATAAGTAAAATCTATCATTCTCAAAATAAATAATCTTTACAAAGAGATACAAATTCGTCGGTTTTCTTAAAAATAAAAGTATCTTATGTTTTTCAAATCGTGATTAAAACTCTTTCTCGTTTTTCTCATTTGTACTTTCAAAACTTTTCTAGTTTGGGAATATTCGCGTAATCAAATATTTTATTCTCACGTTAAAAACATTTCATTTTAATTTAATTATAATTGATTTAATTTTATATAATTAATTTAATATATTAATTAATTTAAAATTTCATTCGCTATTACGATTGCATTAATCCTTGCTGCTTGGCAATCACATTAATTCATTCATGCCAACATTGCCGTTAAGTATTGCATTTCTTTGTACAATGAGATGCGTTTGTGAAGGAGAAAAACACATGTCGGCTGTAAATCCTTCTGGCAGCACTCGATACGATACATACGATCATTAACGGAAGTTATGAAAATGCCGTGTGCAATGTTATTACGTATGTACATTGATAAGTTTATCGCCTTAGACGCTCAACGTAAACGCTTGCACTGTGAGTTGTACTGTTACTATTTTCTATGCTGTACCTATTTTCTGTACTGATCCGTAATAAGCTAATTATTTATCTTTATAATTCAAAAACTAAGCTTCGAATAATATTTTGCATTTTGTAGGAGGAAAAATCATCTTAGAATTCATTCAAAAACATATAATTTCAAAAACAGCAAGTTGTTTTAAATTATCTTATATAAATGTCTTTCTGGGAATTTTATAAGACGTCTTCGGAATTTTAAAATGTCTTTAAGATGTTTCTAAGATACCATAATATTGCTTAAGAGAGGAAATGACTACTTTAGATTAATAAGGATATAAACAACTAAAAGTTTTTATATTTTGTAATTTTACTCAGTATAGCAAATAGAATAAATATGATAAATTGATGTTTTAACGCTAACGTTATGGTTATTAATAATACTTCTCAATGCAACGCAAAAGGTACGTGCAAGATGCGATGTCAAAATACATGTTTATGAAATTCCTTGGAAGTAGAAGTATCCAATCGCATAACAGATTTTAAATATTTAAATTAAAATGACTTGCATATACTTTGTAAGATAAAGTATGTCTTTTCTTTGCAGGATGAAGAAATTCCATTATTGAATGACAGATCGCAATTGAGATTTTATGCCGACAGTCGGAATCTTTCCGGCAGATACACCTGCGTTGCTAATAATGGAATCGGCAATCCAGCAGTGGCGCATATAGACATATGTATTAAATGTAAGTGATGTTAGCATACAGTGCGCACATACACACATACCCGTGCACGCGCGCGCATATGCATGTACTACATGGGCTGAAAAGTCTTTGGCTTAACAATGAAAAAACGATTTTTTTAATGAAAAAAGTGTTTTATTCCTCGACATAATCTCCATTTAGAGTAATGCACTTAGTGTAACGGTCCGCTAACATTTCGATGCCGGTCTTATAGTGCTCGGTGTCAAGTCCCTCAAAATAGGCATTTGTTTCCAACTTGACCTCCTCATTCGAGTAAAATCTTTTACCAGCGAGCCACTGCTTCAGTCGGGGAAAAAGGAAATAGTCGCTGGGGGCCAGGTCTGGAGAATACGGGGGATGCGGGACCAATTCATAGCGCAATTTCTTTAATTTATCGGTCGTATCGCGAGCCGAGTGAGCTGGAGCATTGTCTTGGTGAAACAAAATTTTTTCTTTGCCAAATGTGGCCGTTTGACCTTGACCTCGTCGTCCAATCGATCCAGTAATGTACAGTAATATTCTTTATTGATAGTTTTACCATGTTCAAGATAATCAATGAATATTATGTTATGCGCATCCCAAAAAATACTGGCCAAAACCTTACTGATTATTGTGTCTTCGGGCGCTTCGGACGGCTTTCACCAGGCAATAACCACTCCGCTGATTGCCGATTGGACTCCGGTGTGTAGTGATGGATCCATGTTTCATCCATTGTGACAAATCGATGCAAAAACTCCTTCTCATTGCGGTTAAACAGGGCCAGATTTTGCTTTGAAAGTCGAACACGTTCCGCTTTTTGCTCAATTGTCAAAAAACGCGGCACCCAACGCGCGCAAAGCTTTTTCATGTGTAAATATTCATGAATGATATGACCAACGCGTTCCTTTGAGATGCCTATGATGTTAGCTAGCTCACTCAATTTCATTTTGCGGTCATTCAACACGATTTCACTGATTTTCTGGATGTTTTCTGGAGTAACTGCCTCATTTGGCCTTCCTGAACGTGGTGCATCATTTGTGCTCGTACGGTTACGACGAAACTCAGCAAATTTGCAATATTTGATGGTTGAATTCGGTGGGGCAGATGTGCCGTAACATTTATCAAGCCATGCCTTTGCTTCAACAGTGTTTTTTCCCATCAGGAAGCAATGTTTAATCAAAACACGAAATTCACTTTTTTCCATAGTAAAGATAAATTCAGAGGTAACGTCACCTCGAAAGCTATAACTTGTACACGAGTCAACGAAATATCATGAAATTTTTACAGCATCTAAGTTAAGGTTGGTACTCTATAGGAAATATAAGGATTTTTAGTTTGTGGCGCCATCTATATGTCAGGCCAAAGACTTTTCAGCCCATGTAGTACATACACAGTATTTGATTCATCCCAAATGTATGTAGCAATAATTCTGTTATAAACCTGTTTAATATAAATATCCGCGTATTTATTGATTACAATTATAATGTAGAGATTTTTGCAAGTTGCATTGGCCGCGTTCAACAGAAAAAGCTGCTTACTAAGCGCTTGGTGATTATTGTTCCTAATTGATTCGTTCTTTTGTGTATTCATCAAAAATCAAAAAGAATACTTCAATCATAGATAATAATCACTAAATGCTTAATAAATTGCTTTTTTGCGCAGCCATTAATGTACCTACGATTTATCAATCTAAATTACGATTATATATATCAAAACAATAATCATAATAGTATTCTATTCTATCAATTTCGCATCAACAATTAAGTAAAATAATTGCAGCTGATTAAACTCTTCAGTATTTCAATTAAATACAAGTTAATTATGTTTATTCTACATATACAGGATGACCCATATATGGCTCCTAGCAACTCGCTAGGAGACATTCGCGGAAACATAGAGCGGATTAAAAATATACAGGGCGTCCCATTTTATTTTCGACAGTCAAATATCTCGAAAAATATGGAAGATATGGAAAAATGCTTCAGACGAAAATTGTATAGTTTCAAGGGGAACATAAAATAACTATATCAGCAGTTTGTTTACAGATGACGCCATTTTTTAAATATCCACTGATCATTACTTTTCTTAAATGGAAACCTGAATTTTTTATTATGTTATCTTTTCCTATCAATTAATTTGAACAATTTTTGTCTGACATATTTTTTTATTTGCCTAATATTTTTTGAGATATTTCAAGAAAACTTGGTAACTTTTGTTAATTTGATGATTTTGAGATTTCCAAAAGTCGATAAGTTAACAAAAGTTAGGTCTCTATTGTAACAATATATTCTTAAGACCAAATAGAATAAAAAAGTCTAGTATTATTTTTTCTTCCGATAAACAACAAGATATCGTAAGTCAAATATTGAAAAACTTATCAAGTTTTCTTTTTTTTTGATCACGGTGGGGAAATCCTCATGGATACTCCTACCCCTTGGGAGCCGGACTCCTACCGCCGGACTCTTACTGGCTAAAACCCCACCGGGGTGTCTGCCAGGTAGGCCGGAGTGTGGGGAGTCGGGGAAACTGCGCCTGCACTCCCTCCCATGATACCAAGTTATCCTGAAATATCTCAAAAAATATTAGGCAAACAAAAAAATGTTTCAGACAAAAGTTGTTCAAATTAATTGATAGAAAAGGATGATATAATAAAAAATTGGGGTTTCTGTTTAAGGAAAGTAATGATTAGTGAATATTTCGAAAGTGGCGCCATCTGTAAACAAACTGTTATAGTTATTTTATGTTCCCCTTAAAATCATACAATTTTTGTCTGAAACATTTTTCCATGTCTTCTATATTTTTTGAGATATTTGACTATCAAAAATAAAATGCGACACTCTATACAGGGTGGTTGATTATAAGTTGCCAACCCGAAATGTGAAGGTAGATTGAGTTAAGATAAACATAAAAGTCCCATACCGTTTTGCGAGATTTGCAATAATTATCGAGTTATTAATGACAGAAGTCTGAGGAATGGGAGCGCGCCGACATAGATGAGTGGAGAAGCGTTGCAGCTACTCAGGCCACAGCTCGACCCAGCAACTGTTGGTGGCGTGCGGCGAGACGTAAGTTCGGCGAGATAAAACAACGAATAGCAGCGCATTGTTTTTCCCCTCGCCGCGCACCGGCAACAGTTTCTGAATCAACTGAGCCGCGCTGCGGCCTAAGCAGCTGCAACGCTTCTCCAATTATCTATGTCGGCGCGCTCCCATTCCTCAGATTTCTGTCATTAATAACTCGATAATTATTGCGAATCTCGCAAAACGGTATGGGACTTTTATGTTTATCTTAACCCAATCTACCTTCACATTTCGGGTTGGCAACTTATAATCAATCACCCTGTATAAAACAAATATATATAGGGTGTCCCGGGAGGAATGGTCAATATTTCATGGGGGTATAGAATGAGGTAATATAAGGCAAAAATATTATATAAACATGGTATGGGTTTATTACTAGTTTCCGAGACACAGCTATGTTAAATTACATGTCGGAATTTAAAGTTGACGCGTCATTGGGATTTCATTCTTCACCGTAACGGAGCAGGCTGTGTATCAGTTGGAAAGGTTAGCGAAACACACCTGGTGATCTGTCCTGCTGTTTGTGACACACTGCAAACTTGCCGCACGTGTTTTCTAATGTAGAGTACGCAGATATGGTTTATATTTATGTTGTTGGATATTGTGATGGCAGTGCTCCCTCAGCCGTTGAAGAATATCATCGCCATTTTCCGATGCGCCGCATTCCAGACCGAAGAGTATTCTCGAACGTATTTAAGCTTACGTGAAAATGGTACACTTCCCAGTGCTCACATCATATCTGAACGTAGAGTTGAGAGAAGTGTTGAGGAAGAAGAAAATGTACTTCAAATGGTACAAAGGAGCCCTACGACTAGTACAAGAAGGGTCTCTGCACGTACTGATGTTCCTCGGGCACGTATCTGGCGGATACTGCATGACCAACATCTGTGCCCATTTCATCCACAACGAGTACAAAATCTCCATGAAGGAGATGGAGCCACACGTCTACAGTTTTGCCAGTGGTTACAGAATTATCGTGAATTGATTCCCGTCATACTTTTCACTGACGAGGCAACATTTACGTGTAATGGCATAAATAATACGCGTAACACCCATCGTTGGTCGCAAGATAACTCTAACGCCATTGTTGTACAGAATTTCCAAGTTCGTTTGTCCGTCAACGTATGGTGTGACATGATTGATGGAATGCTAATTGGTCCCGTTATTTTACAAAATCATATGACAGGGCAGAGTTACCTCGACTTTTTACAAAATACACTTCCACAACAACTAGAAGATATTCCCCTGGCTACACGAAGAACAATGTATTTTCAGCTCGACGGAACACCTCCTTATAACACACATCTTATGAGAGAACACCTAAATGCAATGTTTCCACATCGCTGGATCGGTCGCGGTGGAACAGTGCAGTGGTCACCAAAATCACTCGACCTAACTCTCCTGGATTTCTGCTTGTGGGGTTGGTTAAAGTGCGAGGTGTATAAAACTAAAGTGAATACACGGGATGAACTTATTGCACGTGTAATAGCCGCTGTTGACCAAATTAGAGATCGTGAAGCCTCGTGGCGTGATGCCTTCTGGCGCGCAACCCGCCACGTTCTCACAAGATGTGACAAATGTATCGAAGTACGGGGCGAAATATTCGAAAATTTGTTATGATAGATGTATTATAATGTAATTGCAGTAAACTTCAACTCATATTAGATAATTCCGACGTGTAATTTAACATAGCTGTATCTCGGAAACCAATAATAAACGACACCATGTTTATATAACATTTTTACCTTATATTACCTCATTCTATACCCTCCAAAATATTGACCTTTCCTCCCGGCATACCCTGTATATACATATCAGGTGTAGTAAAAAGAAATCCATTATTTTTCCAATAGATGGCTTTAGTTATCTGTATCTCGCGTTGTATAAGTCCGATCGGGTTCCACTAGATGGCGTTAGAAAGATGAGATTTCGTACTAAAAAAAC